AACATGCAGTGTAGCACCACTATCAACAATCCACATGCTCTCATCTGATACAAAATTAACTAACCCATGGTCACTGAGAATAACAAGATCACCACAAGTAGCAGTAGCAACACGATCATTATCATCATGATCCTTTTCTTTCTGCTTACCCTTATTGCCTTTATTCTCCTTTTTCCATGATAAGTGTCTAATTAGTTTGATGAAATTTAAATTTGAGACACTTATCTAGCACACTTTTTGTATATATTGATATAATTTTGGAAAATACATTAAGAATCAAAGAGGGGCTCTTAATTTACATTATTACATGGAGTGATGAGTTTTTGATCAGATTTTCCTCTTATTTTATAGTTTTTGAAATCTGGAGGCAAACGGCTGAGCGCCTTGAAACGGCTGAGCGCTTTCAAGGTTAAAATCAAGTTTTTGAAATCTGGAGGTAAACGGCTGAGCGCCTTCAAGCCAGAGAGCTCAACAAATGCAGCAAAGGAGAGGCGTTCAGCCACTCTAAGGCACTGAGCAGATTTGGCCCTGGAAGAAGGAGTGCTCTCTGCATCTTAGGCGCTCAACGGATATGAAGCGCCCAGCCCCTTGTGCTTGCTTAACAGTGAAGAATCTCCAAGGCGCTCAGCGGATTTGAACGGCTCATCCCTTCAGATTACTTCATGGTGAAGAATTCTTCAAACCGCTCAGCCGTTTCAAGGCGCTGAGCGGATTCTTCTCTTTCCTGCCTACTCTATTTTAATTCTAGCACTTATAAAAGGGCAGAGGAGAGAGAAAAATGGGCATCACAAGCTATACGAAGTGAAGAACAGAGAGGAACGAGGAAACAGAGCACTTTGGAGCTCGTGGGGACGCGATTCTTCAGAGGATCTCTTTCTTCTACCTTTCATCTTGTTGTTTTGTGATTTCTTGTACCATGGAGAGCTAAAGCTTTAGGTTTGGGATTAATGTAGTCATCAAACTCCTGTGTATTCCTCTTTGATTTATATATATATATATCTCATCTATTACTCAATGTCAGTGATTTGTATTCTGTTCTTAATGCTCTGATAAATTGATCATTTATCTTTGATCTTGGATTTAGAATTTGGTTGGAAAACGTTTTCTGAATCTAGACTTGAAACAAATCACCTATTAGTTTTGAGAGCCAAGGATGGTCTTGAAATTAATAGTTGCAACAAGTTCTGATTCTTAATATGGGATATTTAACTGAAGTGAGGAATCATTCATTGAGTTAAATCTCTTAGGATTTCTTATGCCAAGGGATTGAGTTTGAATGAAAATAGAGAACTCAATGGCAATGAGTAATGGAATCATTTGATAGAATCATTAGGAATACATAGGAGGGAGATTGATGAATTTAATCCCAAACTGTTTCTCATATCTATTTTATTAAATCTAATCTTTTGATTACTTAAGTTTGCATTATCATTCACATCAAATTTGACCATGTGTAATTACTCAAGTTTTAAATTTACAAGTATCAATTAGTATAATAGAAATCAAAGCTTACTTCACAAGTTCCTGAGGATCGACAACCTTTTAACTATACTACAAAGACTTGGGTGCGCTTGCTCACAAAACCAACATTCCACAGAAAAAAATTCCTCTGTATATGCTCTGTTTTGTGACAATAATGACACTCCACATTCTTGTATCTGGACTTGGACTTACTCTTGCTCTTTTCTCTACCACCCTTCGGTTCGTTCTTCTGACTTCTTCCCCTATTTTCAGTGACAAGCACCTCAGACTGAGATGAAGAACCTTGTGCCTTCCTTCTCATCTCTTCATTAAGAGCACTGCTCTTTGCCGCTTGCAAAGAAACAACACCAGTAGGGATCGAGTTGGTAATAGAAACTCGAAATGTCTCCCAAGACTCAGGTAAAGTATTCAGTAGCCATAGTCCCAAAACTTCATCATGAAATTTGATACCCATTTCGGATAACTGATCTAGGAGCCCTTGAAATTCATTCAAGTGATCTGAAATGGAAGAACTTTCCTTGTACCTCAAATTCATTAGACAATTCAACAAATACAATTTATTATTCCTGATTTAGAAACATACAAGGACTCAATCTTCTCCCATAAAGTTCTAGCATGTATCTCATTTGCAATGTGATTATAAACATTTTCTTCTACAAATTGCGAATAAAACCACACACCTGTTGGTGTTCAAAGTCCCAATCTTCATCAGACATAAAATCTGGCTTTTGAGTAGTAAAGATAGGAAGATGCATTTTCTTCACAAATAGCAAGTCTTTCATCTTTCCCTTCCAAAAGTGATAATTAGTGTCATTCAAAGCAATCATTTTAGTATTTGCGTCCATCATTCAAGCAAGTCAAATAGCCCCAAACCAAAGCCAACAAGAGCTCTGATACCACTCTGATGGGGAAACAACAACACAATAACAATACAGAGCAAGCTCAAACAGTTATCGCAGCAGAAATAAATTTCCCAAACTTGCAAGAATCTGTGAAGAGCAACAACCAATGAACAACAATAATAAATCACCAAAAATCACAAAGAGAGACACCAAGATTTTTAACATGCAAAACTCCCAAAAGTAAGGGTAAAAAACCACGAGTCGTCCAAATCAAAGAAATAGTTCCACTAAGATCAACAAAGAGTACAAAAAAGTCTCAATCAACTGCACAAAATAGTGTGAACACCCAGCCAAACAATAAAGCAATAAAGCTTACAAATAGAGAACAAAGAAGATGAAAAAACTCCAAATACACAGCTACAGTGCGAACTAAATATCTCCCTACTCAAATCTCGTTTCAACGATCCAACCGGTCAGAATGAAGAACCGGATATCACGAACCTGCTATCCAATTTTTAGTCCGATCCAACGGTGAACGAATATGCAGTACCGATTTTACTGTCGCAGCCCTGTGTAAAAATGAAAATGACTTTCTCTCTTTCTCTCTCTCAAAGTGTTGGTGCTCTAAGTGACTTCTGACTTTCCCTTTTTCTCACTCTTATGCTTCGGACTCTCTCTCCACTTAATTAAGTGAGACATCAAGTAGGCTTCTCAATTTTGGGTCTAGGAAGGAAGCTCAATACCCAATAGTGAGTTTGTACATGCTTCTAAAGCAATGAAGAAACCATCTATTACACAATGAAATGATTATAGAAAAAGTTAATTGGAATAAACTAAGAAAGAGAGACCCACAACATCTGAGAAGGCAAGAAAAAAAATACTCCCTGCGTCTTAAAATAGTTCTGATTTAAGCATTCGAAAAGAATTTCAATCTTAATTTATCATCTCATAAACTAAATCAATTTTAATAAATTTAAATTAAATTTATCTAAAAGAAAAAATTACAACAAATAAAAATAATGTATTTTTTATTATTCTTAATTTATGCATAAAAACCTTAACAAGGAGTGTTTAAAGTAACACCATGTATGTTGTCAATAAAGGTTGTCACCAAACTGCATTAGAGTGCACAAAAAAATCATAGATAGAACTAGGCACGAACTTCTTTGATACGCAAAAAGTGGGTGGGATAGAACTACCACTGCATAGCAATAGCATAAATGCATAATAACTGAGATAATAGAAGGTTAGTAGCCTTAGCTTCCAGATGTTAAAAGCTTAAAATGTAATGACCCTTCCCTTATTAAGAAACAGACAAAACATATTCAGTAAGAAGACTTTAACCCAATAATAGTGAATCTGAATAGTGGTTTGATAAGCCAGGCCAGGGCAGAAGAAGCAAAAAAATGGTTGTTGGCAGGTCAATATAGTCAATAAAAAATCGTAAATTGATGGTTAACAAAAAATTAAAATATTTTTTTTTCCAAATTTATCTTTTAGTATTTATAGTTTAAAACTATTTTTTCTCGATTTTTTTAACTCCTATAACTTCATCTATAATTTTTTAAAATATTTATGAATATCTATAGATATTTATTAAAAAGATATATCTTTAAAATATTTAACAAAATATTTTACTCATACATTTTAGTTATATATAACAATTTTTTTCTTTTAAAAGTTATAAAAAATTACAAAATAAAATCTGCATAAAAAAAGGTTCGAAGCCTATAACCAAAATTCAAATAAAATATGCATAAAAAATTTAAAAATTATAAAATTTAAATTTAAATATTATTCATAATTATACTAATCATAATAAATAGATTTAGAAATTGAATTTTAAATATTCAATCACGTAAGTTTAAAGTTAAAACAATAATTGTTAAAGTAAAATATTTTGATTACAAATTAATCAAAATAAAAGATAACAAAATATAATACTTAACTATTGTAAGTTCAAATAAAGTTTAAATAACATCAAATTTATGAGTTCAAATAAAATTACAAAAATCAATAAATTCTCTCAATATATAAAATTATTTATGTAAATTGGATATTAGCGAATATTGATATTTACGAATATAAATATTATGATACTTGTATCTGTCACATTAACATGTAAAGAAAAAAATATATTTACATTCATTACTTACATATATTCATTTAAAATATCTATTTTCTATCCATTGTGAATTTTATCTACAAATACAATTTTTTTAACCCTCTACCTATTACTAGCTTCATTTTGATATATAAAATTTTTTTGAGAATTTTTCTCGTCTCTTTTATAAAATTCTCCAAAATATTTTGAAATTTTATTAGATAGTTATTGAAGTCAGTTAATTAATAAGATAAATTCATCATCTGAATCAAAAAAGATTAACAGCGAAAAATAATTAGACATTTAATTTAAATGAAGAGTGAAATAATCAACCCTAATAATTTTAAGGATAATGTTAAAAAAAAATATAATTTTCAACAAATTTAATGGTATTAATTATATTAATAATTTTTTCTAATGTTTAAAGCAATATTTATTTTACATCCCTACATTTTTTTTTTTGTGAATGGGAATGATAGGAAGGAAAGAGGGAGAAATTAATAATAGTATAATTTGATGGGGAAAAAGAGAAAAAAAAATAATAAAAAAGAGTATCAAATTTGCGGCATAAATGGTTGTGAAGTTTATTATTAGTAAGCAGCAATAAGGACAAAGATGTTCTTCCCTACAAAAACTACCAACAACCAAATAAAGGTACGACGTTTATCGTTGGTTTCTTCTTCTTTTGCCATCGTAAACCGCAAATTGGCCTCTTCCAATTCTCCCTTTCGAAATGGACACAGAATCATTCCTCAAATTCAGTCACAAAACTGTTCCTACACATTATATGTGCAGATCATATCCTCAAAAAATCTAATAGACATGATGGGATATTGGACCTAAGTGGGTAATTATTGTATTATTACTGTATGTGGACTATATTAAAAGCAATGCAAAACCGAGTAGCATGCTCCTAATTCATAAAAATCTTCTCTACAGTATTTCGGCCTTTCATTTTCAATCTTTTCCACCTTCTACAGAACTACCACCCAGAAAAAGAAACAGAAAGAACAAAATCAGGTACAGTGATCCAGGATCTTCAAGGACCACTTTATGTCCCAAAAATTAACCTAGACAACTAATAAAAATGAAGAGAGTTATCATAAGCTCTTTGAAGCAAAGTAAGGTAGATCAGTGGAGGGCTAAAACTAAAGATAGCCATCGTGAAAGGAACTCAATTATGTCCCATAAACATGTCTCCACCTTCCAATTTGTTCATCCCCTCCTCCAACAGCATTCCCTGGTCACGGCATTCACGGCTGCAAAATGCCCTCTCACCCCTGAAGTATAACCACACAACTACACTCATAAGATGTTTGTGTTTGAATTATAATAATTTGATTTATAATCAGTCTTTTTATCAAAAAACAAAATCACCAAGGGATAATACTAAATTCAAATTTTTCAAACATTTTGTCATCAGTTTATAATCCATGGATAAATAAAATATCCTTTAATATGCCATCGAGACATAGGCCAAAGATGTTGGCCTATGGTTACACATCCATATGATTATGATATCAATTACAACTCTGCCATGTGGTCCAAAGCCAAGGCAAAGTGGTCAATAATGTAATACAGTTATGAATTATGATATCACATTAAATTTCACAAAGATTAAAATCTGTACTTCACAAACAGTCAAATTTTCTTTTAATTCTCATCAAAAACTTGTTTATGGATGGAAAACTCGCTGAAGAAGACCTATTGTCAGTCTAAGATCAGAACATTCAAAGTATAACTTGTCTGTCTAAATGCTAATTAACTAGATTTGTGCTTTCAAATCAAGTTGCAGAACATGATATGCATCCACGTCTACAACATTAAAATATATATGTCAATGGTGTTTAATGGGATGGATACAGAATAAGCAATTACCTGTACATGTAGATGTCCATGTCCTGGCTAAGATTTTTCTTGCAGTAAAAACAGAAGCTCATGAAGCTCTCAGAGGGGTAACTTATGTGAGGAGGAAGAAAAACATTTTCCATAGGAGAAGAAGAGCATCCAACATCAAAGCAGCCACTCTCAACAATGCAGTTATCAAATATGTGAGTAGTTCTAGGGTTAGGCCCGTGAGAAATGACGCGAGTGTAGTCCTCTGAGAGCTCCATTTCACTAGCAGAGAGACACCCCTTCAAAATTTTTGGAGATTTGACTGAAATAGAAGACTCATAAGCAGATTTAGGTGACTGAGATGGAGAAAGTGTTGCATGAATCATGGGAGGATTCTGAATCCTAAGCTGGGATCCAAATAAAATCATTCTGCTTTGTGATTTTGATGTCATTTCACCAGGCTTGTTGTCATCAACAAGAGCATCAACTAGGCCCTTTGAATCCAATTTGTCCCAACAACGTTTGTGTTCACCAACAGGAGTTCTGGGGCTGTTAGTTTCTGACCAAAAAGGGTTTTTGAAACCAGAGAAAGGCTTGTTGTTAGTGTCAAGTATTGAAGTTGGACTCATCATAGCCTCAGTTTCACACACCACTTTGGATGCGAAATTGACCAATAGCTTTGGAGAACTGAAGAAAGATGACACGAGTTTCTTGTATTTCTCGGATATAGATGGTGAGGAACTAGAAAATGCCATCAGAATCAGAGCTTATCAATCAATAGGGAATGCTCTAAATGAATCTCTTTATCACCACGGTTCATTTTTATTCTACATGAAAAAAATATATATATCAAAATACCATACAAAAAAAAAAAGAACATTCTTGATTACACAACTGTGAGTGAGTGTACTAAAAAGATTATAGGAATCACCTGCAAGGACAACATAAAAATCAATTCTATGTTTCTCTTGTGCAGTATTGGTGGAGGTTTGTACAATACATGTGCAAAACAACTGCAGTCAAATAATTTCACTTTTGTGTGAAGAGTCAGAAAACACAAGTTTCCATAAAACAAAACCCCTCTCTCTTAACTTGTTTATACTTCTGTAATCTCCATGCCTAAACCAGTGAGAAAATTGTTATGTAAAAGTGACTTTTTCCCCGGCTTTGTCGCCCTCTCTTGCTCAGTCTTAGAGAATGGAATCAAAAGGGTGATGAGAAACGACATGCAAAGAGGGTCTCAGTAGTCATGATCAAGGGACCAGAGGTGCATCAGAAACAAAGGAGGGTTATTTGTATTTTTTGCTTCTCCTTTTCGCTACCTTTCAATTTCACAAATGCTGGGAGACCCACCAGAGTAAAACCAAAACTGGTCCCTAAGATCGCATTTCAGGCCCAAAACGGAAAAGGCCAAATAATACTAAGAAGAAAAATGATAAATGATGAACGAAATGAAGTGGTAGTACTCCTTTCTTCTTCAGTAATGAGGGTTTAAAGGTTTAGTGAGTAATGGGGTTATGTTGGTCTTTATTGTGGTAATGGCATGGTGGAAACCTGGAAAATTGGCCCATAGATAGGAGTGCAGTGGGGGAGAAACTGAAAGCGGTTTGGTGGGTTATTATGAGGACGCGTGTGAGTGCATGAGAATCAGTGGTTTTCTTTTCAATTTTGACTTTGCTCTCAACACTGGCGCTTTGCAATTAACTATCTTTGGCTTTGTGTGACTCTGAATGTGAATGTATGTCCCATGAACACAAAAGGTGGCCTTATGTCATTGTGGATTCTGGATAGGCTCACATCATATATCCATACACTCCATTGTGGATTGTTCTGGGTATATACCTCAAATATAAATGCATCTTAATATAAATAATGGTATAGCATTAATCTATTCTCATTGTTGATTTCAGCATAAAATGGTGATTAAAAATACCATCTTATCTATGTATATCAAATCATTTAATTATAACTTGAGCATATTCATATAAAGTAATTATTGATTAGAGTATCTAATAATTTACGTATTTTTTGATGGAGGGAAAATGTCTATCTTATGACTACTCCCATATATTTTTTTTACCATTAAAGACCTAAAGAAAGCTATATAAGAAAATAAACATAAACTTTAATAATTTTTATGGATGAATCTAAAGATTAAGGAGACACATTGTTATAACCTAACAGTTATTGTATCTTTATTTTAAGAAAAATAAATTTATATTAAAGTTAAATACAATAATATTTTATTATTTTAAACTTATCCAATATAATCTTTCAACTGTGTTCATCCTAACATTCTTGGTACGGGTGTTGTATTATATTTTGGTATCAAAGGTCATGTGGACAGGCTTGCATGGTTCTTTAAGGTCATCAACCTATATCAATTTATAGTATTTATTTATTTTATTTGAGGATGAGTAAAAATCATCTGTTTGTGATGTTATAGCTTTGATTTAGTGCATAAATAATGAATTGATGATTGTGGTCCGGTATTTGTAAGTTTGGTAATATAGAAGTTTTGTTGCAAGGTTTGGAAGTATAAGTAAAAATGTTTAAAAAAAATTTAGTGAAATAATTTTTTTTTTCAAAAATATTGATAAAATGGAAAGATATCACATAATGTCAATGACATGTTAAAATATCAACAAAGATTCACATATTTATATAAAATATTATTGCACAAACTTAAATTAAAATAAAACACTTAAATTTAAACCTTAAAATAAGATGATTGATATGATGTAATTAGTTCATCACAATTTCATTTTTTTTTTATAAATCATCATCAAAATTTTCACTTCATGCTGACAATATAGATTATCAATATTTTCATAATTAAAATTTTGTAGTAAACAAATATTGTAATTAAATTGCTCTTAACAATTCCCTTCTTAAAATTCAACAAAAAGAAAAATACCAATGACTAAAATATTCACTCTTAATAACACATAAGGAGCTAATATAAGTTAAAGAGGCACACTGGAAACATACATTATTTTGATCACAACTTATTGAAGAGAAGGTGAAGGGGACAATGTATTACTGATTATTCCACAGCGCATGTAAAAACAACCATAGTAAAATAATAACAAATCCAAAATGCATGTATTTTATTTTTATATATAATTAGATGCAAGGACCCAAAAGATATTAAAAACATGCATTTTGATCACACTGTTATGATGTTTTTTTGTTTTTTTATTTATGGTTTCAACCTTTACAAATATCTTTTATTGTCTAATAATAACAAATCTTATTCATACAATTGGCTTGTTTTTGCTCACATCTCTAATAATTATCACAATATTGTAATTATGAAACTAATCAACATATATATAAAAATATTATTCATGATACATTCTCTGTTACCACCGTTATCACGTCTCTATTCATCTATTTAGAATATGTTTTATAAATTATTATTTTAAAATCTTAATAAATTAATAAATAATTATATAAATATTGTACAATACAAATTTAAGTAAAATATCATTTTTATCCTTAAAAGATTTATGATTAATCACATTAATCTTTTAAAAATAAAATATCAATTAATTTTATACATAAAATAGATTAAATCAATCATCGTTCTTGAACTTATTTACTTTAAAGTTAAATACGAATGATTATGTAAAAAAATATTTTAAACTATAGAATAAAATTAGAACATGCATTTAAATTAATGTCGCTTTCATGTTTTACATTAGAAATATATATGGTATACACAAAATATTTTTTAGTATAAAACAAACGAAGTCTTTCACTTCTCACAAATGAAAATGATGATTTTCATATTTATGGACCAATGTAATGGACTCCAAATCTTTTTGAAACTGAACCAATGTTTTACAGATCTAATTAAGTCCAAGTTGAAGAAAGTTTGACAGAGGCACTAATCTTATTTTCATACATTACTAATATTATATTATTTTTTATTTTAGTATATAAAATAAAATTAAATAATAAATATATTAGTATTATATTATATTTAAATATTCATTGGATAAAAACATTTTGGATACTAAATTATATTTATTAAATAAAAATATATTAAATGATAGAATTTGTATGTATTAGATGAAAAAAATAAACATATTAAATTAAATTATTTATTTTATTTTATATTATATGATTTTATATATCAAATGAAAATTTACACCACATAACAGTAAAATATAAAAAATAAAATAAATAATAGCATCATATAATTTACGGACCTTCTCATGGATTAAAAAAAAATATTATATATGGACCAAAAGTAGTAGACTAACAGTTATTTTTTTTTATTTTTTTTGTATTTTAAAATAAAGGTCCATGAAGTAAGAAGTAAGAAGTAAGGCTAAGCCCAAGCCCAACCAAGATGAGACACTTATAATAAGTAGTACTGATACAAAAAGTTAGGGTTACAGGTTTTGGTTACGGCTGCTGAGGGAAGAGGTTGAAGGAGAAGAAGAAGAAGAAGAACTATGGCCGTCGGGAAGAACAAGAGGATTTCTAAGGGCAAAAAGGGTGGCAAGAAGAAGGCGTTAGTACCCATCTTCTTCTTCTTCTTTTTTTTTTGTTGCATTTTTCTGTTTAACTAATTTTTCTTCTTACATTATTCCACAGTGCTGATCCCTTTGCCAAAAAGGATTGGTATGATATCAAGGCCCCTTCCGTGTTCCAGGTCAAGAATGTTGGCAAAACCCTTGTCTCACGTACCCAGGGAACCAAGGTATTTTTTTTTCTCATTGCACAGCTGTGTACACATTGTAATTTTGTTTGCCTTTTCTCTTTGGCTATTGAATTTCATTTTTATATAATGAATTAGCAGATGATCTGCATTTATTCACGCAAATTGTATGGATTTGAATTAAGAAAATTTGGACGCTGTATTTTAGTATTGTAGGTTAATTTTTATGCCATGTTGGATTTATTTTATAGATATTGTTCATAGTGCGGAGTATAGTTTGGAATGTGTACATTATAATTTATAGTTATTGCAATGAGTGATTTGGTGTTGGTGCAATTTAAATTGCTGAGACTTGTGCGGCTCTATATAGATTGTGACGTGATTGCTATTTTAAATAACAGATTGCTTCTGAAGGACTCAAACATCGGGTGTTTGAGGTCTCATTGGCTGATCTTCAAGGGGATGAGGACCATGCCTTCAAGAAGATCCGTTTGAGAGCTGAGGATGTTCAAGGGAAGAATGTTCTGACAAACTTCTGGGTATGATGGTGACTGAGCTTCTTTTGGTCACTGCTACCTTCTCGCACTAATGTTACTGATATTTGTCCCTCTGTAGGGGATGGATTTCACAACTGACAAGTTGAGGTCATTGGTACGAAAATGGCAAACATTGATCGAGGCTCATGTGGATGTTAAGACTACTGATAATTATACTTTGAGGATGTTCTGCATTGGCTTTACTAAGAGGCGTAGTAACCAGGTCAAGAGGACCTGTTATGCACAATCAAGCCAAATCCGACAGGTATATTCTGCATCATTATGAGCTGTCCTGTGACATACAATTTGGTTTGTTCTCAGTCTGTCTGTTTTTGAGATATATGCTGGGATGGGATGTGTTCTGGCATTCCATAGGGTAACCTGAGTATGATTTTTAATCAAATTTCTTTCTATTGATGTATCTAACATAATAACAAAAATATAAAGGGTGTGGACTAAGTTATATTTTCACATGTTATTTTCTGGATTTGCTTTCTTATCATGACATTTTATCTTGTTATCTTGTTTTTTCTCTGTACTTGGAGGTGGATATTGTATATCTAACAGTGTGAAACACACATCTATGTTTTCAGATTCGCAGGAAAATGAGAGAGATAATGGTCAACCAGGCAACATCATGTGATTTGAAAGAATTGGTCCGCAAGTTCATCCCTGAAATGATTGGAAAAGAGATTGAAAAGGCAACCTCTAGCATCTATCCTCTGCAGAACGTGTTCATTCGCAAAGTTAAGATCCTGAAAGCGCCTAAGTTTGATCTTGGGAAACTGATGGAGGTATGGTTTTTTATTCTTGTGCTTGAAAGCTTCTGTTAGTCAATCATTGTAGGAATCATTATTGAATTATTATTGAGTTGTACTGCTGATCTGGTTTGGGGTCTTGGCAACATTTTTTATTGTAAATAAATTCATAGGATTCACACTTTTCGCTTCCATTTGTTTTACTTTCATTTTCTGTCAATTTGTTGACCATTAAACAGTTCAAGAAATGTCTTCCTAATTTTTCTTGGGTGCAAGCAATAAGCATGTGATTTAAAGCCTGGTCGGTTGGGACTAGGATGATATATGATACTTTTGTTTTTGATCCTCGTAGGTTCACGGGGATTACTCAGAAGATGTTGGAACTAAGGTGGATAGACCCGCTGATGAAACAATGGTTGAGGGAGCTACTGAAGTAGTTGGAGCTTAATCTGGCTCATAATGCATTTTTGTTTGTTTAGAATTTCTGTTGCTTTTTGCTAATATTTATTTGTTCAGTTTTGCTGTGACATTTAAAAGTATTTGTTTTTGCAATCTAAACCTGGATTTTTGGTTTGGTAAAGTTCATTGGTACAACCCAATAACTAAGCACCTTTTGAAGATGCCTAATTTTCTAGACGGCTCTTGCTAGTTTTCCCAATTTCTCATCTCAGACAAATCGTGCAATCTTTGCAGATTATTTATCTTGTTTGATTAATAGGGCGGTGAGTGTGAACACAAAAACGTACGATGTTACCAAACGTGCCCCCAAGATAATGTTTGTTGCATTGGCGCCTTTAGGAATTGAATTACTAGCTGACTTTTACTAATCACAATTTGTAGATGATAAGGTGTTATATTTATGTTTTTTCGTAACCAACCCAAATTGGTTGGAAATTGGGTTAAAACAGTTGGATAGGCTCAAATCGTGATACCTATAACTTCTGATGCATTTTCATGACTTGTTAAAATATTTTACCCTTTTTTTCCTAATGGTCGCCTGAACAGTTATAGGCATCAAATTTGTATTGTTATAATTTTGTTCAATTTATTCATGAAACTTATTCACTCTCCTTTTCTACATAGTTTTTAATCATTTTTTTTATTTGATTGATAATTATCTTATTCTTTTTTAACATAATTTCACGTGACTTTAGTCGGTTACTGTTTTGTGATGATTGTTTCTATTACTAAATGCATTCATTGAAAAAGACTCGTGGGTATATATTAAAAAAGTATTTATATTTATTTTTCTGCTTTTAACTTTTCATTGTTTTTCATATAGATATAAATAAAAAAATTGAACTTAGAAAAAAACGAATATTAGTGGACCTTCTGTAATAAAGGAAATATCACTAGGCAAAAAACTCTAGGAATATGGAAATTAGTGGCCCACTAAATTGGACGTGAATTGGTCTCATACGTCTATGGTTGTGCCAGTGCATTTTGGAGAATGAAAGGGAATATGTAGAAAACAAAAGAAATGGAATTGGTTTATTCATTCCGAACGAAACATCATATGATAATTGACGTGTCACATGTAGCAGTGTAAAACACAATTGAAATCAAAGGTGAGGATCAGTAGAAAGAACACTGAACATGACTATATCTCTGGCTTTTCCTTTGAGAAACACATACTTCCTAAGAAGCCCCTCTCTTTGGAAACCAGCCTTCTCCAACACCCTTTGAGAGCCAACATTGAACACATCAACAAGAGCTTCAACCCTCTCCAAGTGTTCCAACTCAGTGAAAGCAATCTTCACCACTTGTTTCACAACCAGCGTGGCAATCCCTTTGCCCCAGTATTTGGAGCCCAAAACGTAGCCTAGTTCCGCTGATGTTTTTCTACTTTTGTCATACTCTGAGTTGGAGGACAGAGAAACACAGCCAATAGCACGGTCGTTGAGGCATATTGCTCTGCACCACACAAACTTTGTTGCTATGTTTTGGATGAAGTTGATGCCATCGTCTTTGCTCGTGTAAGGATCCCAAGTGCAGAAGGTGGCAACTTTTTCGTCACTGGTCCACACCATGAGATCATCGAGGTCAGAGAGCTCAAGGGGTCGAAGAGATATTTTACTCAAATCAACGCTCTCTTCTTTCTCCATTTGCTTCGTATGTGAATGAGGTTCAGTTTTGGCTTATTTATGGACAAAACAAAGGAACTTGATTGGAAGAAGAAAAAGAAGAAGGGTTGTATAATATAGTTGTGAGAATCAACCAAGGAAGGAAGGTTCAAGTTTGCCATTGTTGACTTTTCAAGCCGCCCAAAGCAAATCATGTTTTCTTGTGAATCAAGAATTTATTTTTTAAAAAAACCAAAGAGAAAGAAAATGTTTTTTGGTTGCCCGAGTATCCTCGGGCTGAAAATCATATATTAATCTTTTTTCACATTAATCTTTTGATATATGAAGACTCACTTAAGAAGTTTAAAGAAAAGAAGAAATTATAATATATTGTCCTATAAAATAGCAACTTCAATGATTTAGAAAAAGTAACAAATTTATTTTCTTTAATAGATTTATACATAAAAAGATTTCGTTAAAAAGTTATTTTAAAAATACACATTATCAAGTTTTTTTTTTAACATTACTTTATTAGAATATAAGAGATGATAAATGAATGAAACAAATAATTTTTTAGGCAAATCATAATGTATCCAATAAGAATAATTTATTAATTTATTTAATTTTATTAATAATTTATATAAAATTCAATCCATTTAAGATAAAAAAATTTATTCAATTTATCCATTAACGTTTTTTTTTAATGGATGGATATACAATCCATTCATAAAAGTAATATTTTAAAAATTAAATAATTTTTATTTTTGAAATATTTGTTTCTCTTTCTTTTTTAATAAGTTATTATATTCTTATATAATCTTTTAAATTTTCAATCTAATAAACATGACATACTATAATTCAATGAATTTTAAAAAAATAGTAGATAAATTACTTTCTATAAAATTAAATGAATGAATTAGATCTAATTCATTATTTATTTTTATTATAATAGATGAATTTACTTATAAATGAATGATAGATAAATAGATTCATTTATCATTTTTAAATATAATACATGATTAATAACATAGTTCTAATCGGATAAATATATATAAAAACACTTTATAATATCGGCCCATAAAAATAAACTTTTAATTTATTCATGAAAGCACTTTTTTTACGGTGTAAGATAATATATTCGATTTGAAAATCGATTAATTAATCAAATTGAGGTCAAAAGTTTTAAAAGCAAGGACTAATGTGTGTATATTTGGGGGACTAATTTTAAGTATTGATCGATGCTTTAAAATTTTAATAATACATAGCATAAGTCAACTAGACTCAAAACAATAAGAAAGGAAATTCTCGGTACATGTTTAGAAAAGAAGGAAAACATACGGTGCAAACTAATTATTGCATGTAGAGTTTTATTGACTGTTACAATGCAATTCTTCATACAAGTCACTCAATACAATTACATACAGATGTGAAAGAAGTTGCTATGATCAGATAAGCCTAAGTTCAATAATCTCTTATTTCTTATGAAAAACCTTCAATTTTACTAGCTAAGTTAACAATTGATACACTAGTTATTGTAGAAACATCCCAAACGAAAAAAGTTCTCACAACATGACTTAGTCCTCATTAGTTGAAGGCCTTGAACATCCACAAGCACACCCCTTGCGGCGCCTTCTGCTATTTTTCTTTCCAATGCGAATGAAGTCCTTCAGCAACACACCTGTTGGTCTAGAGATTCTGTTTTTGCCTTTGTTGTTCTTCACATCAGACAGTTTTAGCAAAATATATTGTATGTTCTGCACCTCAAACTGCAACCTTCCTATTTGTTCAGAACCTCTTCGAGCCTGTTCTGTTACCCTTTTTCTTTGTGTGTTTCCTTGTTTTTCCAACTGCATTGTGTCCGAAGATGAGGATGTGCACTCTTCAATATCCTTTGCCAGTTGATCATATATGCCTATTTGTTGCATGACAGCTTCCTCGACATCTTCTATGTGTCTTTTCACTGTTTCATATTCAATCTCATTTACCATGTTGCTTTTCTTCTTTGTCTCAGGTTTCTTTTTCAAATCTTGCAGTGTCATTTTAAGAATGGCCAATTTCTGAGAATCGGAGGCAAGCCTCTCCAAGATCTTCCTTTTTCCGTCTTCGCTTGTTGTTGTTGGTTTTCTAATCTTCCACAACTCCTGTTTGTCAACACCCAATTCCTTCTCTGTCTCCAATTCTGATGAGTAATTTTGATATTTTTCCAACAGATGGCATGTAATTACATCCTCTATTGAAGCAGAATCCTGTTTATTTTCTTCAGTGACATCATGATGATCCATTTCACATAACTCAAGCAGATCATCCCTCCTCCTACTGTGCTCTCTCTTGTAATACTTGTTGGAGTCTGGATCATCCTTGTAGTCATCAAGAGGAATGTCTTTCATTATAAACCTTTTTTGAGACTTTGTTCTCCATGCATTACGGTCTCTTGTGCTGTTGTCTTTCTTAATTTTCACCACCAATTTTGGATATGTGGCAACTTCCAAATTTGAATCCTCAATCATTTCTGTTACAGCTTCTGCTTCAACATTAGCCATCAGATTTTCCTCCTTCACGCTTCTTTCAAGTTCTCTCATCATTAGCTTCTTAATTGCTGCAATCCTTGTCTGCATGTTCAGCAAATCAGCAACCCCATCTGGTATTAAGGTACTTTCATTTCCTCTTAAACTTTGATAGCTATGTTCTTGGAGACAGGTCTCAGTCGTCCCTACATCCTGGACAAACATTCATGATAGACATGGATATATAGAAAATATAAGTGAGCTGCATAAGCTGTTTTGATAAGAGAAAAAGAAGAATAAAACAAAAGTACATAATATCGAGTTAAAACATGATGATACCTTTGGTTCTCTGTTGCCTTGAGCAAAAGTTTTACTGGTCCAAAGAAAATAAGTGTGCTCTAGAGATGCAAAATCCTCTTTCAAAGAAGTAATCATAGGAGTATATGCAGATAACTGCCCTTTCAGTCCTCTAATTTCATTTTCCAGTACACCGATTCTTTCTATCATCTGTTCAATGACTGAGCTTTTAGCAGCATTCTCATCATCGATTCTCTGGCAAACTTCAGTAAGCTCGGTGACTTTACTTTTCAACAGTTCTTCACTAATGGATGAAATCTGAAGCTCCAAATAGAATGCTGCTGCCTCAGCCTCACAAAGTTGGAATTCATTTATTTTGTACAGCAACTCTGAATTCAGTGTTTGCTCCCTAACCTTGTGTTGTTCAACTTCATGACGTAATGACCTCATCAGAGACTGAAAACTTCTATTTTCTTCATTAAGGTGCTCAATTTCTTCTTTCTGATTCATATAATTTTCTGATAGTTCAAGAATCTGCCTGTCTTGGTTTTCTCTGATCAATCTTGATTTTTCTTGACTCATCTTCATCTCCTCAATAGATCTGCAAAACTCCTCATTCAATGTCTCTGCAGCTTTTAGCCTTTTCACGATTTCTAGAAGCTCTACATCTTTCTTCTTGAGAAGATTCTCTGAATTTTCAACTTGATGACTTAAACGGCAATTTGCATTTTTGATTTCCCGCAGCTCTTTATCCATCCTCTTAGTAGACTCATTCAGATAAACATTCTCAGCTTCTTTCACCTCAAAATTCTTCCTTAACACACCAAGTTCCTGATTGAGGTCACCATTTAAACGGCTAAGATTGCTGCTGAGATGTTCAGAAAGTGCTTTTTGTTCAATGACTTTTTGGGTGAGAAAACTCTCATAAACCAAGTTGAGGTTGCTTAGAGCTAGTAACTCATGGAGGATTACACTGTTTTCATCTTCAGCAGCAGACATTGCATCTTTGAGGTTCGAAACACTCCTAAGCAGTGAATTTTTCTCCTCCAGCATCTTACTATTTTCTTCCTGAAACACGTGATTTGTTCTCTGCAAGTCTATTAACTCTGCATGCATAGCCGCCAATTTGGACATTGATACATTATCTTTTTCTTCTCCATTGGCCACTTTAGTCCTCAGTTGCCTATTCTTCTTTAGAAGTTCAACCTTCTCTCTCTCCAACATTACATTCTTCTCTCTCATGTTCTCAAAGTCTTGCTCCATGACCTTTTTCTCTGACTCCAGTTTTTCCCTCTCAGATCGATGTAGCTGAAGTGAAGTTAGGATGACAGAATTCTCTAGAAGCAACTGCTGCTTCTCCTCTTGGCTTTTCACATAAGAACTTTTCAAGCCCTCAATGTTGTCCAAAACATGTGATATTGGTATTTCCTGTTGCTTGATTCCTTTGTCATGCCCACCATATGGATCAATATGAAGAGCCCCACACACTTGATGAATAGCCATTTTAAACTTTCTAATTTCATGTAACAGAAACTCTTCTTCCATCAGTTGCATAAAATTTTCAGTCTCCAATTCAGAGATAACTTTGTGAGAAAATTTTGATGCCTCAACATGCTTTTCACATTCAGCTAACAGGGCCAAGTTCTTCTGCTCCAGATCTTCTATACAACTTTGCAAAATGAACATCTCGATTTGAGCATTTACAGCTTTGTCAACTTCTTTTTCAAATTCTATCCTTCCCAACCGCAGTTCTTCCTGTAGCACATGAAACAGATTCTCCAAATTTGTCAGTCGGACTTCACTCAAGTGTTTATGATTAGCATGTTTTTCCTTTTGCACCAAAATTGAAGCACGGAGTTCTTCTACTTGATTGTCTGTGTTTTCTTTCTCCTTCTCTGTGTCAGCATGTTTTTCTTCTAATTTTGTGAACATCTTTTCCAGGTTACTTAGTTTAGCCTCGACGCTTTCCAACTGAGATACCAGGATGCTTCTTTCATTTAGAAGATTGTACTTTTCATCATTTAGCAACTTGCAGAATTCTTCTATGTCTGTTGATTTAGCCTTCAAATCTTCAAGTTCAATCTTCGCATCAGAGAGGGACTTCTCCAGCAAGGCATTCTTCTCCAATAGCTTCTGCATACTTTCAGTGACAATTTGTAACTGAGAAAGTAGAGCTGATTTCTCATCAACTAGAGTAGATTTTTCTTCCTGGAGAACTTGACAGGACTCCTGAAATTTCCTCACTGTTGCATTTAATTCATCTATCTCATCATTTAATCTTGATAGGGAAAATTCCATAAAGGCATTTTCTATCAAAAGTTCATCCATACCCTTTGACTTTTCACGAAGAGCTTCTTTCTCATTGTGTTCCATTTTGCAAACCTCCTTTAGCTTAGAGTTCTCATGTTGTAAATCTTTCACAGATGCTGCAAAACATTTAGGTTCCAAACCTAGAGTCTGTATCTCTTCCAGCATAGTGTGATATCTGTTATTCAAGTGCTGGATATCATTCTTTATTTGATGAGCTTCCTGCTGGAGGGCATTGTTTTCTTCAGCGTTTACAGCAAACTCTCGTTCGAGCTTCTCTTTGATCTCCTTTAGTTTAGAGATTTCCATTTGCTGTCTTCTTAATAATGACCTAGTGGAAGAGAAAGTAAGATCATTCAGAATCCTGTTTTCTTCCTCATTCTCTTGCATTTCTTCCTTAAAACCTTGTTTGGAAAGGTCCAAGTTCTTCAACAACTGAAGCCCATATTTAAGCTCCATAACAAGAGTTCCTTGCTCCTGTTGTGACTTAGAGTACAACTTCTGCAGAGTCTGTAGAGTGGACTCAATTTCAAGAAAGTGAGAGTGCTCTTCATGCATTAGAGTCTGAAGCCTCTCTATCTCAGAATGCTTCTCTAAAAGGGCTTGATCCTTCATAGCTATCTTCTGTGCCAGATTTTCAGCCTCTAGCTGAAGAGATTGATTTGATTTCTCCAACCTATCACAATGTTTTTCAGCAGTCTCGAGTTTTTCAGCCCCTTTCTCAATCTCTCTATTTAACTTCTCAGAATTTTCTTGGGCACGCAGGATTTCATTCTCCATTTTAGATATTTTCTCCAAGCATTGATGGTAAAGGACAGCTAAAGATTCCTTCTCTTCATTCAGATCAGCAAGATTTTTTCTCAGTGCTTTAACTTCCAGTTCTGCTCCTTCAAGTTGCTCATTTAACATCCTGGAATTCTCCTCTGAAAGGGTTATCTTGGCCTCCAAAACCGAAATCTTTTCAAGACACTGCTTATATCTAAGAAGACCAGCATCCTTCTGTGCTTCCAACTGGCCAAGTTCTTGCTGTAGATTTTGAGCTTCAATTTCAGCCTTAGAAGCTCTCTCATCAAGTGCCTTGGAATCAAGCTGTGCCAGAGATAACATATTCTCCAGTTTAGCTATACTTTCTAAACACTGGTTGTACTGAATTTGACCAGCATCCTTCTCAGCTTTTAGCTGTGCCAGTGCTTCCTTCAATACTTTAGTCTCAATTTCAGCTTTACTTGCTCTTTCATCAAGGCCTCCAGCATCTTTTTGTACCTTGTTAAGATCACTTTCCATTTCAGATAACTTCTCCAAACTCTTCTGATACTGAAGAAAGATAGCATCCTTGTCAGACTGTATTTTGGCCAGGGCTATTCTTAAGGTTAGAACTTCGCTATCTGCTTTCCCTGAAAGCTCAGACTCGGAATAAGGCACTCCTGGTGTGTGTGATTCAACACAGAGTGAATCATCAGTCATCATGTAATGTTCTTGGTTGGGAAATGCTTCTGCCATGGTTTTATGCGCATGGCGTAGCTCCCCCATTGCATGATCGTATCTCTCTGCTAAAGCACGGTATGCTCGGTAAAACTCCTCCACTAACTTCATGAGCTCTGGGCGCTTCTTGTAGTACATTTCTGCTCTTCTTGCAAATGAATCTGCTTCCTCGTCAATGAGCTTGATCATTGATTTGACTTTGGCATCTATGTCTGCATAAACATAAAATCACTTGTTATTGGATTAATAAACAGAAGCATGGACTAAAATCAACCATCATATCCTTATTTACTCACTTATAAAAGATAGCATCTTTCACAAGTTATAACAACTGGGTTTATTATTTAAAAAATGTATGCAACTGCTTTTGCTTAAGCGTATAATCAATGAACTCAACTTTTAATGCCACACAGTCTAACAGTGAGTGTGAAAAAATAAAATGTGAAAGTGGTTCAACATTTTCTGAGATGCTTGTGTTTAGAATAGGGACCCCGTCAGAAGGAAATTATGTATAAAGGCTTCAAATGTCATTTTCATTCTGTCTTTTCGGATGGTGAACATGTATACACTCAAAACACCGAAATTGCAGATAGTTTTAATTAGTCTTCCGTAATAAGCATGTATATTCTTAGATTCACTATGTAGTATTTTTTCTATTTTACAAAAGGGAGAATTAGAAGCAAAAATATCAGATCCGATCTGCTGAGTTGGAGTTCCATTTCCTTTTCACTGTTAAAATTTAACTGCAATTTCTCAAAATAATAATAAGAAGAACCATATTCATATATAGGTACCCATCAATTATAAGTTTGAGTCTTAATATCTAATTTAAATATAATAAAATCCAATTCCATGATAATGTTAGCCTCCAACCAACAAAATGCAAAGTGTATTTATTATAACTGCCGGGTAGTTGATAGCTCACACTTTTGTCTTATAGAAGACTCATGATAAATATACATAATGATTTTATGACAAAACGGAAGAGGAAATTTGATTTTGTCACCAAAAAAGATATTAACAACCAAGGATAGATAGGCCAAAGGATGCGGTAATGAATTTGTGTCATGCTAATCCTAAGCTTGTGAGAGAACAGCTATTGGGCATCTTTACAAAAGAAAAATTATAACCATACACTCATTTTTAGTCTCATTTCCATTCCGTTTTTTTCCCTATATTTCTCTCTTCCTTTTCCATTACATCACTTTCACTTATCAAATTTATCACTTTTTCTTTCTACCTTCCCCCCCTTCCTATCTCTCTCTCCTTTCCACTCCGGTCCACCCACCCAAAATAGGGTGAACTTTTATCATAACTCCCTACAAAATTATTTCAGTAGGCTAAATAGGGATGCATTTGTCAAACTGCATGGCTGCACACATTTATATGATATTGATTTACCGTAAAATCTGTTATAACATTTGAGCAGCTCAAGCATATTCCAACCAGTCTCCGTCTCCCAGACAACAAAGTACACATTGAACATCACATTCTGATTTAGAAAAGCTACAAGCTATTCTCTTATTACTCCCGCGGTAATAATCTTTGTGAATTTTGTTATAGTGAACTATTGTATGAATGTATTCTGATGCAGTTTCGATTAAAAATGAATAACTAACAAATTAAAATGCGTAGTATAGAAAATTTAATGGCCTCTACTGTGGTCTCAAATTCTTCATTCCTGTGAAAGCTACCTGAATGATATTTTCTAGAGCTTTCTATAGGTAGTCTCTTGTTGCAGAATGAGATAATAAGTTATTCTTTTGGTAGATCTTAATCGGCAAAGTTAGTTTCAACTTCAACAGATATTTAGCCCCAGTTCTGTTAGTTTAGTCTTTTTGTCATGGCAACACATTAAACATAAATTTGCAAACCAGATAACATAACAAGTTCAAACAATATATTCGGATTCCTTTAGCACAGTAGTAGACATAGAGAGGGAGAGGAAAAAGACACACCTGTGAGGTTTTCCTGAAGCCATTTTGAGTTTTTTGGGCTAATGTGGCTATCCCACCACCAAGAATAGGAGCGCCGGGACTCGGAATGAGACAAGGTCGCCATGACTCCAGCAAAGAACAACACTGCTAGTTTCAATTTGGCAAAAGCCTGATATTGGATCTAGGCAAGACTATAAGATCGTTGATTTCCACGAGCAGTGTCTTTGTAATTTGAGACTCTTCAGGACTGTTTCACCATTTCTTGTACCTATAACCAAACAAATGTTAACATAGTACATTTGATGAGACTTACTACAGATTCATGAGAAGTCAAAATTAGCTCCCATGGAATGATGTTGAATTACCTGCCAAATTGTACACAGTTCCACCTGATCACTGAAGGGAACTTCTTATTTCAGCAGTTCAGAAAATTTATATTGGGGGCGACTGCCACAAAGAAAGGAACAATATAGTTAAAAACAGTAGAAGCATCAATCCTTCATCATGATGAATTGTATTAGATAAAATACTTCTAAATGCAAAACAGGCTCCAAAATCCAAGCGCAGACATAAGATACATTTTCTATATTTTGTATGGATAGAATTGGCTGAAAAATTTGACCTCAAGCAAGAGCAATTTCTATGATCAACAAATGCATTCACAAAAGACCAGCAAAGAATATTTGGTAGCAGGATCCTAGGCACAAATTGATCAATGATCATGAAGAGTTAAAGGAAAAAAGAAAAATTAGACAAAAAGGTTATATAGGCAGGGAAAAGAAAGGGTAATTCAAAAGGCAGGGATCACGAGTAAAACAATTTATGAGTTCAGCAAAAGCCCATGTGAGATCAAGTGCTTACCAAGTCAATGAACTTGATCAACTACCACCTAAAGGAGCAAAATTCAATCAAACCAAGTAAATGGGTGTCCAGAAAACCATAAAAAGTGTCAAGCTTGGGACCAGTTGGGATCGAGCACACCCCAGAAGGATGAAATCTATGAGCAGCTGTGATGGTGATAAGAGAACCCCCAGCAGCTGCAAAACTTGCATTCTACCTCATTTTTCTCAATCTGCAAGACACGAAGGTGCAATCTTTGAAGTGGGGTATTGGCAATATAGAATTGTGTTGTGTTGTGTTGTGTCGTGTCGGCTCTGACACTGTATGTATATATGACTCGTCAACTGTAAAAAGGACAGAACACGGAAAAGTAAAGAGTGTTGTGGTTTAGATAATCATCTTGTGTTTGGAGAGATTATTATAATAATTAAGGTTACAGTATCCTCTAAGGAAAGGATGCGTGCGAATGCATAGCAAGCAGAGTCCCCCATTTCAACAAACATTAATGGGATCCAAAATCATGATTATGTTTTAATCACCATAATTAACTTGGGATACTAAACATTATAAAACGGTCGTATTCTTCATGTTTGTGTGGTCTTCCATTGCAATTGCATTATTTATGCATCATATCATATGGTTGAAAATGTGAAGGGAAACAGTGCCCGTGACTGTTTGGCAATTCCTTATCTCGCTCGAGTTCCTCGCCCATCATCTCCGGGAATCAAGGGGTTTCTTTTTTAAAAAAGAATAACACTTTTTTTCCTTTCTCAAAATCTAAATAATAAAACTCAATATTTTCTGATCACGTATGCAAATTATTTATTTTTTTGAACTCAAGTGACATATTTTAATCTTCATTCATGATAAAAAAAATTAATGATTAATATTTATTACTCTTTCTAAACATTTAATTATGATATAAACAAAATCTCAATAGAACAAAAGAAAAAATAAAAATTTATAAAATACATATATATTTCATTGATTAATGATTTTTTAAGTGATTATTAAAAATAAAATTATGTAAAATTAAATTTAAAGTCGAATAATATATTACTATTATAAAATTATGTGTGCAAATACTTCCAAATATTTGAAAACAATAAACCTTTTGATAAATATAACATGTTTAGATAAATATCATAATATAATCCTAACACATTTAATATAAAGATTTTATTTTTATTTTTTTATAGAAATTTGAAGCATGGTGTGTACAAGGGGTATTTCACACATACATATCCATATTAGTTTAATATTATCCATTTTTGGCATAACCTCTCATAATTTTGTTTTATTAATTTTCCAAAAAAAATTATATCAATAAAATATATGTTTTATAAATTCATGATTCTCTTCTTTTTCAAATAACGTGAGACTGTAATTGCACTTTCAACAAAGTAAAAAAAAAAACTTCTCATATTTAGTTTATTAATTAAAAACTTTTATAGGAAACACAATATTATTTTCTATAATATTTTTTTTTTATATTTCTAAAAAAATTATTTTCGATGAAAACTCAATATTTTTTAGTTAAATAAAAAGTTTTATATTCTGATAACAATGTCATGTTATTTTTATCTAGTTATTTAATACAATAAAAATTATTAATTTTTAAGTAATATAATAATATTTTAAAAAAAATATTTATGATGAACTAAACATATTTTAATTATTACTTAAAAAATATGATTTTCAAAGTTTATAATTACGAAGAATTATGATTCAAATGAAAAAAAAATTCCATTCTAACATACTTGCGTATATTCTCATAGAGAAAAATGGTTTTTACTAATGTATAATACACCATGAAGATAGTGTGGTAACTGGTAAAGTTATCGCAATGATATTTGTTTCCCTCGTGTTGAATGTAAAAACAGTCATTGGTTGCTTCCAGCTTCATTGTTTTATTTTTTTTGACCGACACATGTAGAAAACCGACAATATATGACATATAAAGTTTGTAATTTAATTATGAGGTTGGCTGGTTGATATCTATATCTTCCTACCGTGCAAATCGAATGGCAATAATTCGAATAAAGTGGCCACGATGCTAAAGTCAAAAGCTCTGTGGTAGTTGGAAGAGTTTGTCTTTTGTAAAATACAATATGCATTAAACAATTGTAAATCTTTTAATACTTATTTTCAAACATACATTACAGATAATATAATTCTGATTTTATACTATGTGATGAGATAAAAATACATTTGTACCTGCATGCTGCATTGCATACAATTAAGCTTAAGATTCTCGAGTCTATTGCACCAGTAATTTGGAACACATATGATGACAGTCAAGGTGTTTGGTTAGAAAAAGAAAGTGTGTCCCACCATATACTTAATTAATGATTCAAAATAGCAATTGTTAATGGTGACGCTGAACTTCCCCTTAGTGACTACTCAGATTTGGTAATGGAGAAACTCACAAAAGTGAATATTCATCTTTACAAAATGCATGTATGTCTAGAATCAGATTAGATTTAAGAATGTTAATTAAAAAAAAATTATTAGTTTAGAATAATATTAGTTGCAAATGATTGATCTAAATTAACAAGTTTTCTTGGGTTATTATTTTTCCCATTTCAATATTATACCGTATGGTGGCTGACTAGGCCGAATACCCGAGTTCGTGGCCGACTATGCCGAATACCCGAGCCCACCGACCACTCACAATCTGAACGGAACGTGTCGGTGTGCTCGGCCAAGTCACGGATTTACGCCAGGATAATTATGGAGAGGTTAATTTATGTAATGCACTGGATTAGCCCCCTAATTTCCCGGGGCCTAGTCCTTAATCGCGGCCCAATAAGAATCACTATAAATCGGATCCTAGCAAGGTACGTAACTAACTTTCAACTACCACATTTATTACGTCGAGCACTTACTTGAGCGTTGGAGTGTCTTTGCAGGCCCACCCCCCCTCACATCGGACTACCCGGATAGGAACGAGAAGACCGAGACCCAAGATCAGACTCTTTATAACAAGGATAAGTGAAGTGTGTATCCTAACACAGAAACAAATATTATATTAGTATATAGATGTTTAGGATTTAAAGTTATATGATCACTTAAAATAATTTTATGGATTAAGAAAAAAACTGTGTATTTCTCGATATGAATTATTGAGTATGCAATTTCATGACAGCTAAGCCAGTTGACACTATTGATTTTAGGTCGTAACCCACGTGATGTATTGCGAATTGCCAATCTTTTAAATAACATAATGCAAGAAAATAATCTTATACCTACTGTTGTTGTTAGAACTTGTCACGTTCAATAGCCATTTAAACTGTACCGTACAGATACATCTCTAATGGATAGTGTACGGTGTAATATTCTTGTGAGAATTCATTATATAGTTAAATTTTAATAGTCATTGATAACTAGGAGGCTTTGTTTTGATGTATATTATAAAATAAAATAAAAAAACACACCCTAGATCACTTCGAAGTTACTCGGGTTAAAAAAAACTCTAAAAACACCCAAGAATCCTAAGTTTTATATGCATAATACATGCACTTGAAAAATTAGTAATGGCAAAGAGCGATTGATGGGAAGACGAAGGGAGTTAAAAAAATGGTGAGAACAGAGAAGGACATGCTTCAAATGATTAGTATTATGATTTTAATGGATGAACTTTAGGTGTTGGAGGGTATAATTAGTGAGTGAAATATTGGATATATTAATAGCAAGAGTATGAGCTGTTTTACAAGGCAAAGATTCGAGGGCAGAGTTGTTTATTTAGGTACTATATGATTTGATGTAACTAGCTAACCAAACTGAAATGCTTTCAAGAGAAAGTACTTGTAGAGGTTGCAAATGAGCGACCTACATGATGTGATCTCACTCCTCACATTTGCCCCTCTCTCTAAACACTATTGCTTAAGAATATTGGTTCTCTTCTTCAGAAATTTAGCTTATCTTATATTTCCACCACTCTTGCTACCTTCTTAATTTGAACACCACAACTTCACCAACCACGAGAAGACCAACTAGTCTAGAACAAGAAATTAAAGGGGTTGTGGAAAAGGCACTCCATCTATGCCCCATTTCAGAAAATATTTAATTTAATTGTATTTCGTTATAATTTTATAAAAATCACTTTTTTAAAACTTCATCTCTCTGGCAGCTGTTTTTTAAGCTCAAAAAACATTTTTTTATTAAAAAAATATCTCTAAAATTTTTAAAAAATAAATTTTTCTAGAGAAAAAAAAGCTAAATATTAAAGAGAGGAATTAACAAGAAAAGGGTGACATTATTTCTCATTTATTTTCATCACCACCACCCACATGCAGCAGCTGATAATAATAATCTATATTGAACTGTATATTAAGAATTTATATAGGCAAATGTGATTTCCTCCATTAATTTACTATTTTGGTAAGGATCAGTTTACCCTAAGTTAGTATATGGCTACATGCAGTACTTGAATGAACTAATAATTTCATTTAGATGAGACACGACCGTCACCCAATCAGCATCATTATCGTACAACTTGTTAGGTTTTTTAGTTTTTACAATTATAATGTAGTACTATTGTGCATTCCATAATTCAACTCTGCAATTCATGATGCATTAATTTCAGTGCCTTCTATTTTTCTCCTCATTGCATGGCTCAGTTAATAAACTCTTGGAAGATGATAAATACGGAATTAAAATTCCACAAAAACAAAACGTGGTACTTCACTTTTCAAGCCTAATAATCCATGCGTGCATTTCTAAGGTGGGTTTTTAGGAGGGAAAAAAAAAAAAAAAAGTAAGATGAGATAATTCTTCTATTTTTAAACAGTAACAAATTAAAAAAGAATATTATCCTCTCTTTTTTTCTTTTATGGGATATATGAAATGAAAGAATGGGAAGATGAAATATAAACAAGTGATTAGATTCTGTCAACGGGTCATTAAGCGAAGCCCACATTGAACATTGGATTGGAGGTCCATTATCACACAAGTGATGATTGGTCTACGGAACTTGATCAAGTTAGTTGGATCATTCATGTCACAACAATGATATGAAATCATTGACTTCAGAATTTATTTAGTTTTTAAATTTTCTCCATGAAAACGATTTATAATTATAAAACCCTTGTAAGTTTGATTGATAACTTTAATTTATAATTATCTGAGGCAATATTTTAAATGTGAGGATTTAATTGAGGGGGAAAAGTTTGCGTATAGCACGAACGCTGCTGCTGAAAGAATGAAATCTCACCTCTCTGAATGTCTTGTTTCAACAAACAGTATGAGTATTGATCACCCCCCCCTTTCAAAATTTTTTTTTAAAAAAACTAATGAGAAGGAGGTAATTTTCTTGTAAGTTGTAACCTTTTATTCTCCATTGTCACTGCTGATATGGGATCATTTTCATTCTAAAAACT